TAAAATATTTAAGTGTAAGAATGAAAATGTAAAAGTACAAGAAGAAAATAAAAGAGAATATTTATGATAAGAACATGAGGATTGCCTGCTAATTATGAGGCAAAATCCCAGAAGTCATTAAACTTTTTTGGATGAAATCAGCAAAAATTTCTGTATATCACAAGCCATTACTGTAAAAGTAAAAACAAACAAAAATACAGATGGTGTATTAGTCTGTTTTCACACTACTATAAAGAACTACCTGACACTGGGTAATTTATAAAGGAAAGGGGTTTAATTGACTCACAGTTTCACATGGCCGGGGGGCCTCAGGAAACTTATACAATCATGGCAGAAGGTGAAGGGAAAGCAAGTACCTTCTTCACATGGTGGCAGGAAAGAGAGAGTGAGTGAACGAGGAAGTGCAACACTTTTAAACCATCATATCTTATGAGAACTCACTCACTATAATGTTATCACCATGGGGAAATCACCCTCATGATTCAATCATCCCCCAGCCAGGTCCCTCCTTTGACATACAGGGATTACAATTTGAGATGAGATTTGGGTGGGAACACAGAGCCAAACCATATCATTCCACCTCTGGCCCTTCCCAAATCTCATGTTCCTTTCACATTTCAAAACCAACCACACCTTCGCAACAGTCCCCCAGTCTTAACTCATTATAGCATTAACTCAAAAGTCCAAGTCCAAAGTCTCATCTGAGACAAGGCAAGTCCCTTCTGCCTATGAGCCTGTAAATTCAAAAACAAGTAAGTTACTTCCAAGATACAGAGTAGGTACAGGCATTGGGTAAATGTTCCCATTCCAAACGGGTGAAATTTTCCAAAACAAAGGAGCCACAGGCCCCATGCAAGTCCAAAGCACAGCAGGCAGTCATTAAATCTTAAAATTCCAAAATGATTTTCTTTGACTCCATGTCTCACATCCAGGGCATGCTGATGCAAGTGGTAGGCTCCCATAGCCTTGGGCAGATCCACCTCTGTGGCTCTGCAGGGTACAGGCCCTGTGGCTGATTTCTTGGGCTGGCATCAAGTGCCTATAGCTTTTCCAGGCTCATAGCACAAGCTGTTGGTGGATCTACCATTCTGGAGTCTGGAGGACAGTGGTCCTCTTGTCACAGCTCCACTAGGCAGTGGCCCAGTGGGGACTCTCTTTGGGGACTCCAACCCTACATTTTCCCTTTGTACCGCCCTAGTAGAGGGCTCTGCACGCAGCCTCCATGAGGGCTCTGCCCATGCAGCAGACCTATGCCTGGACATCCAGTTATTTTCATACATCCTCTGAAATCTAGGCAAAGGTTCTCAATCCTCAATTCTTGCTTTCTGTGCACCTACAGACCCAACACCATGTGGAAGCTGCCAAGGATTGGGTCTTGCAGGCTCTGAAGTAACAGTCCAAGCTGTACCTTGGCCTCTTTTAGCCATGGCTGGAACTGGGGAAGCTGGGATGCAGGGCACCAAGTCCTGAGGCTGCACAGAGCAGCAGCAGGGCCCTAGGGCTGGCCCATGAAACCATATCATCCTCCTAGGCCTCCAGGCTTGTGATGGGAAGGGCTGCCACAAAAATCTCTGACATGCCCTGGAGACATTTTCCCTATTGTTTTGGCTATTAACATTCAACTCCTCATTACTTATGCAAATTTGTGCAGCCAGCTTGAATTTCTCCCAGAAAATGGATTTTTCTTTTCTACCTCATGATCAGGCTACAAATTTTCCAAACTTTTATGCTGTGCTTCCCTTTTAAATAAAAGTTTCAGTTTAAGATAATCTCCATGAATGCATATGACGAAATGCTTTCAGAATCAGCCAGGTCACCTCTTGAATGCTTTGCTGCTTAGAAATTTCTTCCAGCATATACCCTAAATTATCTCCCTCAAGTTCAAAGTTCCACAGATCTTTAGGGCAGGCCAAAATACCACCACTGTCTTTGCTAAAGCATAGCATGAGTGACCTTTACTCCAATTCCCAAGAATTTCCTCATCTCCATCTGAGACAATGTCAGCCTGGACTTCATTGTCCATATCACCATTAGCATTTTGGTTAAAACCATTCAACAAACTTCTAGGATGTTCTAAACTCTCCCACATCTTCCTGTCTTCTTCTGAGCCCTCCAAACTGTCCCAACCTCTGCCTGCTATGCAGCTCCAAAGTCGCTTCCAAATTTTCAGGTTTTCTTTAGAGCAGTACTCCACTGCTGGTACCAATTATCTGTATTAGTCCATCTTCACACTGCTATAAAGAACTACCTGAGACTGGGTAATTTATAAAGGAAAGAAGTTTAATTGACTCACAGTACCATATGGCTGGGAAGCCTCAGGAAACTTACAGTCATGGCAGAAGGTGAAGGGGAGGAAAGTACCTTCTTCACATGACAGCAGGAGAGAGAGAGCAAAGAAGGAAGTACCACAGTTTTAAACCATCAGATCTTGTGAGAATTCACTCACTATTATGAGAATATCATGGGAGAAACAACCCCCATGATTCAATCACATTCAACCAGGTCCCTCTCTCAATGCACGGGGATTACAAATTTGAGATGAAATTTGGGTGGTGACACAGAGCCAAACCACATTACATGGCAAAGGAAGTAGGTACAAATGCAAAGCATGAAGGAGTTCTTTTATGTTGATGGAATGGTTCTTTATCTTGATTGTAATTACAAAGTCTCTAAATAGGATAAAATTGCACAGAACTACACACACAAGCACACAAATGTAAGTTTTTAAAGTAGTGAAAATTGAATAAGGTCTATAGACTAACAGTAATGTAGCAATGTCAATTTTCTAGTTTTGTTATACTACAGCTATATAAGATGTCACCACTGGGGGAAGCTGGATGAATATTTATGCTATTTTTGCAACTTCATGTGAGTCTATCATTATTTCAAAATAAAAAAGCTTTTAAAACTAACATTAGAATTAAGAAAAAATGAAATAAAAAACACTGGGAGTAGGGAATTGCTTTGCTGCTTATATCACAAATAAACAGCTAATTCCTCTAGGATACAAAGGGTTCCTCAAAACCAATAAGAAAAAGGCCAAAACCAAATCCAAAAAAGATACAGACTGTCCTCAGGAAATAAACATAACATATAAAATAATTATAAACACTCACTCACAGTAAGAGTCATGCAAATGACAGCTAATGTGGTTTTTCTTTAGCCTAACAGATTAGCAAAAAACAAAAAGTGTGAAAACAGTTCTCTAATAAATGGCTGGTGGAAAAGTAAATTGATGCAAACCTATAAAGGGTGATATCTGTCAAAATTAGAAATGCACGTTTCATTTAACTCAGTAATTCCATTTCATGAGACTTATCCTATAGTTATTTTGCACACGTGCAAAATTACATATGCAGAAGATTATTCATTATAGCATTATTACAAGAACAAAAAACAGGAAGTAACCTAAATGACCACAAACACATGGCTAGTTACAGAAATTGTGGTACATCAGTGCAAAATTTTTAAAGTGAGGAAATACTATACATGTCCACATACATAGCTCTCCAAGATACGTTATAAGGTGAAAAGAGCAAGGAGCAAGGCAATGTGTGTATTCTGCAACCATTGTGTGGAAAGATGGAGACATTATAAGTTATTTGACTGGTAGCTAGTTAGGTACTAGTATAGAATATACCAGTGCATAAGTTAGTTGACTGGTTCATTAAGCATTAGTGGCTTTCGGTATAGAATAAAATATCTCTGCAAGGATAGACATACATAAAACTGGTAAGAATGCCTCAGGATGGAACAGATAGGAAGGAGATTTTCTATACATACTCTTCAATAGGTTTTGAATTTTCAGCCATGAAAATATATTACCTATTTTTAAAAATAAATGCTTAAATTAAAAATGTAGAGCCATGTGCCCAAAGATTATTGTTCATGAGTATTCATCCATTCATCGGTGCATCCCCTAATCAATAAGGAAACCTTCACTCTTAGAGGAAATTACAATTTCTTTCTAACAGGAATTCAGCTGCAAGCTAGTCTCTGAAATTTGCACATTGATGTCCTTTAGCAAAAACGTTTAAGCTATCTTAAAGGCACTCATCTGTAAATAAATTTTTTTCCAAAATTATTTCTAAAACCATTTGCATAGTAATTGGAGCAAGTTATTTTAAAACAGTATTTAAACGTAAAATTTTGAACAGGGTGGTTCCTTTTAAAACGACATTTAAGTAGTTTTTAGATACAAACTAATGATTTTTTTTAAGACAGGGTCTCACTGTTGCCCAGGCTGGAGTACATTGTTGCGATCACAGTTCACTGCAGCCTCTATCTCCTGGGCTCAAGTGATCCTCCCACCTCAGACTCACGAGTATCTAGGACCACAGGTGCACACCACCATGCCTGGCTGATCCTTTTTTTTTTTTTTTTTTTTTGAATTTTTAGTAGAGAGGAGGTCTCACTATCTTGAACTCCTGAGCTTGAGCAGTCTGCCTGCCTCAGCCTCCTAAAGTGTTGGGATTACAGATGTCACCACTCCCAGTCTAATGAAATTCCTGAGTCTGTTTTTCAGATTGAAAAGTACATGTTTATTCCATGCAGATGTGACTCTGTGACATACGCTTAAGGAAGAAAAGAAAGCCACAATGTGTCTTTTCTCTAAAGGAATGATAAACAAGAAAAAAGTCTGGCTACTACTCAGACTTCAGAGAAGAGAAAATTGAAGTCAGAAATGTTAATGAGAAAAGAGACCGGGTGGTGTAAAGAAATCTTCCAGTACACTTAATAAAAATTAAAACCAGATTATCCCAGTTTGTGTGGAGACAAAGTATCTTCGTGCAGTAAAGGGCAATCAGAACTCACAGCCCAGGCCACTGCCTGCCACAACTGCCTGTCCCTTGGGGATCTCATAGTAACCATGACATTTGTCCTCAAGAAGACTGTCGCTTCCCTATCCACATCTCAGTTCAGCCATAGAGACAAATACCTGCTCTTAACTTTCTGAAAGGCAGTGGAGATGGAATGGCACAGTTAATCAACACTTTTAACTGAAGCCTTCCACATAACAAAGAGGTACAAACATAAAGATAGCATGGCATGGTATTAACATATTCTGAACTTCTGAGCAAGACTGGCTCTCTGGAATCCATGGGATTGCATCTTAATAATATTCCACAGAAGGGAAGCACGCTGAGAGTTCCCAGATTTCCTTGTCTCCTCCGCTTCCCAGAGGAGGAACCCCATAGCATGACCCAGAATTCATCTACCTATGAAAACACCTCCATGTCAGTGGGCCACAGCTCTGCCATCCTCACCTTTCTCTTCCGGGGGTCTAGATAAGTAGACCATGCCATCTAGGCCACCCAGAAGCCCCTTGCCAACAGCAGGAGTTGCCAGAACACACTTTGAAGCTTGAGGTTGTTGAAGATGAGAATGAAGGGATGGACAGACACGCTCAGGTAGACTGCAATTTGCCATGGCCAGTAAAAGTTGTTCTGCATGGAGATAAATTTTGTGGCATCAATGATCAGGGACAGAAAGGACAGAACATAAAGAATGAGGAAGGAGATGAGGAACTTCAGAGCTCTGGTGTGAGCCTGGGTGCTGGGGTCCTGCAGGCTGTGGCCGTTGTGCTGCATTCTCCAAGTATGCCTCCTCAGAGAATTAATGAGCAGCATAATTGAGACCAGAAAAACAGAACAAGGAATTGACCAGATGACCAGTTGCGCGAACGGGAAATAGTAAATTTCTGTCGTTGCATTCCACTCGTAGGTCATGTTCCCAGAAAATGTTCTAATTAAAAATTCTTGATATGCAGAGTAGTTCACCCAAAACAACAGCAGGGTTATGATGAAGGAGATCAGGACAGAGCCCAGCAGGAGCCAGGGCACCCACCCTGGGAACCTCCACTTCAGCCACAGGAAGGTGGGGTGGGTAATGTTAGCGATCTTCACACAGAACAGGACGCTGAGCCAGCTGCAAAACCAGAAGGTGACTGAGTTCAGGAAGTGCCAGTGTAGATGGAAGAACTGTTGAGTGAGAACCCCAGAGTGCTCGACCGCATGGGCAGAGTGATAGAAGTTGTGCCCCATCCCAACCAACTGCAGGTAGAAGCGGAAGGCACCCAAGCTAATGAGGATCATGTCCAAGGGTAGCAGCCTGCCATATCGCAGCCACTCCCTGCCCAGCACCAGCACAATGAAGCCATTCGCTGCAATCCCCAGAAGATTCAGCAGGCTAAAGAGCAACATGAAGAAGGCCCTCAGTGCTGCTTGCATTCTGACACCTCCTGCAGTCCCCACTTGAGTGCCTTGGTCCCTGGCCTCCTCCCTGCCCCTAGCCACAGTCCTGCTTTTAATCTTTCCTAGGAGTGCTAAAGAGTGGTCAGGCTCTGCATCTGAACCAGAGCTCACTTAAAGAGGAGGATGCTCAGGCTAAAGAGGAGAGGTGTGCTCTTGGCTCAGACAGGATGCAAATTTCTCCTAGTGTCAGTTACCACTAGGCCTGCAAACTATTCTAATTTGCCTTGTCCGGTTTTGCCTGCATGCTGCCATGGTTGGTATCAATGTCTATGATTTGTCTGGGTCTCTGTGACTGAGTTCTATCCTCAGGCCATATGAATGCTCCTCTTCCCATCAGAACATTCTCAAGACTTTAAATATGGAGACAAGTATAGGAGATACCTAGGAAAAATAGTGACACCAAAGAATTCTGTGTCAGCACTTCCCTGTTACACATCCATGCTTACCTTGCTGCCTTTGCGCACAAATCCCTTCAAAATCAAATACCTCTCCATCCAAATCTCTATTTAGATCCTCCATGAATCCTGAGACGTAAATGATAATGGTTTAAGCGGGTTTTGTATTTCCAGTGAGAGAATTCCTTATCCTGTGGTTGAGGGGCCTTCCGAAGCAGGACTGAGAGACCCTGTTTCTTGCTGGGTGCTGGTGGGAGGCTACTCTCTGGTCCTAGAGGCCTCTCACAGTCTCTGCCAAGTGAGCTGTTTCAGCATGGCCACTCACGTCAAATCAGCAGTCTCTAAAGGGAGTCTGCTAACCCGACGGGGTCTTAAATAACATAACACGATCACTGGAGTGACAGCCCATCACCTTTGCCATATTCTATTGGCTAGCAGCAAGTCACAGTCACCAACAACACTCAGAAGAAGGAGGTTTCACATAGGCCCAATACCAGGGTTGAGGGACAGGCAGGGCCACTTCACAGTCTGTCTGCCACCCGGAGGTACCCAAGGCAAATGTGAGTCTAACACCAACATCAAAAAGAGGTCCCTATAAGACCATGTTGAAAGTAAAAATATTTCCTTTTAAAATATATCTACCACCTCACATAGTTCCTGTTTTCAGTTTTTTCATGTATAGTGAGAACACTTAAGATCTACCCTCTGATGAAAGTTCAAGTATACAGCGCAGTATTGTTTACTATACTCATACTACCATACATTAGGTTTCCAAAGCATGTTCACTTAGCATAACTGAAACTTCATACCCCTTGACCAATATCTCCCCATTTCCCCTTCCTGAACCCTGGCAACCACCAATCTACTCTCTACTTCTGTGGGTTTGTTTTTTTAGATTCCACAAGTAAGTGAGATGGTACAATACATGTATTTCTGTCTGGAGTATTTCACATAGCATAATGTCCTCCAGTTCTGTCTATGTTGTTGCAAATGGCAGAATCACCTTATCTAAGACTGAATCGTATTCCATTGTGTATGCACACCACATTTTCTTTGTTCATTCATCTGTTAATGGGCTTTTAGATTGTTTCCATGTCCTGGCTATTGTGAATAATTTTCAGTGAACGTGGGAGTGCAGATATCTCTTCAGGATACTAATTTCATTTCCTTTGAATATACACCTAAAAGTGGAATTACTGGAACATAAGGTAGGTCTGTTTTTAATTTTCTGAGAAATCTTTACACTGTTTTCTATAATTTATATTCCTGTCAACAGAGTGAAAGAGTTGCTTTTTTCTGTATTTTTGCCAACACTTGTTATCCTTCATCTTTTTGGTAACAGCCATTCTAACACATGTAAGGGATATCTCATTGTGGTTTTGATTTGCATTTCTCAGTTGATTTGTGATATTAAACATATTTTCATACAATTTTTATATTCTTTTGAGAGATGTTATTCAGGTCCTTTACCCATTTTAAAATCAGGTTATCTGGGATTTTTGTTTGTTTTTGCAATATAGTTGAATAAGTTCCTTATATTTTTATTATTTGTTTTATTTATTTATTTTTTCAGATGCGGTCTCACTATGTCACCCAGGCTGGAGTGCAGTAGCACCATTACAGCTCACTGGAGCCTCAAGGTAGGAAGGATGATCCAATCTTCCCACCTCAGCCTTTCCGGGTAGCTGGGACTACAGGCATGCACTGCCACACCCAGTTAGATTTTTTTTTATTTTTTGTACAGACAGAGTTTCACTATGTTGCCCAGGCTAGTCTCAAACTACTGGGCTCATGCAATCTTTCTGCCTTGGCATCCTCAAATGCCGAGATTACAGGCATGAGCCAGGGCACCCAGCCAAAGTTCCTTATATATTTTGGAAATTAACACTTATTACATATGTGGTTTATGAATTTGAGAGAATGGAATTCTCCCAATTTCCATTCTGCTGGTTGTTTTCTTTGCTTTGCAGCTTTTTATTTTGATGCAATCCCATTTGTCTATTTTTATTTAGCTGAATTCTTGCCTGTGCTTTTGGTGTAATTTTCTATAAGTCATTACCCAAACCAGTGTCAAGAAGCTCTTTTCCTATGTGTGCTTCTAAGAGTTTTATGATTTCAGGTCTTGCATTTAAATATTTAATATATTTTGATTTAACTTTACATATGGTGTAAGAAGAGGATCAAATTTCATTCTTCTGCATGTGGATACCCAGTTTTCCCAACCTCATTTATTGAGGAGACTATCTTTTCCCCACTGTGTATTCTTGTCACATTGTCAAAAATCAATTGACCACAGATGTGTAGTTTTATATACAGGCTTTCAATCCTACTCCATTGGTCAATGTGTCTGCTTTTTTGCCAGAACCATGCTGTTTTGGTTGCTATCATTTTGTAATATATTTTGAAATCCAGTAGTGTGATACATACAGCTGTGTTCTTTTCAGTCAAGATGGCTTTAGTTATTCAGGGTCCTTTGTGATTCCACATGAATTTTAGGATTTTATTTCTATTTCTGTGAAGAGTGATATTGGAATTCTTATAAGAGTTACATGAAATCTGTAGATTACTTTGGATAGTTTGGATATTTTGACAATATTTATTTTTCCAATCCATGAACATAAGATATCTTTCCATTTATTTGTGTCCTCTTCAATTTCTTTCATCAGTGCTTTATGTTTCAGTATACAGATCTTTCACTTCCCTGGTTAACTTTACTCCTAAGTATTTTATTTTTTATGCTATTATAAATAGGATTTTTTTAAATTTCTTTTTCAGTTTATGGCTAGTGCATAGAAATGCTTCTGATTTTTGTAAGCTAATTTCACATCCTGCAACTTTACTAAATTCATTCCATTTTAATAGTTTTTGGTGGTATCTGCAGGATTTTTTATACATAAGATTGTATCATCAGCAGAGAAAATTTCACTTCATCCATTCCTATTTCAATGCTTTTTATTTTTCTTTAGTCTAATTGATCTGGTTAGGGTATCCAGTATCATGTGGAACAAAAATGGTAAGAGAAGACATTCGTGTCTTGTTCCTGATATAAGAAGAAAAGCCTTCAACTTTTCACAGTTGAGTACGACGTTAGTAGTGGGCTTATAATATAGGGCCTTTATTGTGTTGAGGAGCATTCTTTCCCTTTTTTTTTTTTTTTTTTTTTTTTTTTTGAGACAGAGTCTCACTCTGTCACCCAGGCTGGAGGGCAGTGGTGCGATCTCCGCTCACTGCAAGCTCTGCCCCCCGGGTTCTTGCCATTCTCCTGCCTCAGCCTCCTGAGTAGCTGGGACTACGGGTGCCTGCCACCATGCCTGGCTAATTAGCCGGGCATGGGAGCATTCCTTCTAAACCTAATTTGTTGACAGTTTTTTACCATGAAAGGATGTTAAATTTTATCAAATGCTTTGTCTGATTCACTATTGAAATGGTCATAAGACTTTTATCCTTCATTGTATTAATCTGGTGAATTACATGTATTGATTTCTGTATTTTAAACCAACCATACATCCCAAGGATAAATCCCACTTCATCATGGTGAATGATCCTTGGAATATGCTGTTGAATATGATTGGCTAGTATTTTTTGAGAATTTTTGCATCTATGTTCATTAGTGATATTGGCCTGTCGTTTTTTTGTATTGTCTTTGTCTAGTTTTGGTACTAGGGCAATGCTCACCTTGCAAAGGGAATTTGGAAGTATTTCCTCCTCTTCAATTTTTTGAATAAGCTTGAGAAGGATTGTTAAAAGCTCTCCTTAAATATTTGGTAGAATTCTGCTGTGAAGCCATATGGTCCTGGGCTTTTCTCTGACAGGACACTTTTAATAATGACTCAATCTTCTTACTCATTATTGGCCTGTTCAAATTTCCAATTTATTTATGACTCAGTCTTGTTATGTTATATGTTTCTAGAAATTTATTCATTTATTCTAGGTTGCTCAATTCATTGGAATACATTGTTTATAGTAGCCTTTTATGATCCTTTGTATTTCTATGTTATTAATGGTGATGACTCTTATCCCTGCTTTTATTTATCTGACTCTTTTCTCTTGTATTCTTAGTCTAGAGAAGGGTTTGGAAATTCGTTGTTTGTTTTTTGTGTTTTTTGGGTTTTTTTGTTTTTTGAGATGAAGACTCACTCTGTCGCCCAGGCTGGAGTGCCATGGTGCAATCTCGGTTCACTGCAACCTCTGTCTCCTGGGTTCAAGCAACTCTCCTGCTTCAGCCTCCCAAGTAGCTGAGATTATAGGCACATGCTGCCATGTCAAGCTAATTTTTGTATTTTGAGTAGAGACAGGATTTCACCGTGTTGGCCAGGCTAGTCTCAAACTCCTGACCTCAAGTAATCCACCCACCTTAGCCTCCCAAAGTTCTGGGATTACAGGCATAAGCCACCACGCCCAGCTGTTTACCTTTTAAAAAACCAATTCTTAGTTCCACTGATCTTTTCTATTCTCTATATATTTATTTCTGCTCTGATCTTTGTTATTTTCTTTCCTTCATTCTGCTAACTTTAGGCTTCGTTTGTTATTCTATTTCTAGTTCCTTGAGGTGTAACATTAGGTTGTAAATATGCTATGGCT